CTACCAGCAAGGACGCTACTAGGGGCTCCTGGCCTTACTACTAGGAGTAAGGACGCTACTAGGAGCTTTTTCATTGACACCTGTCTCAGGGGCCGCTCCCGCAGCACCGGCGGCCCCAGCCCCGGCACCAACGGCCTACACGGAGCCTTCGATGGAGTTCTTTCCGGTGGCTTGGACAAAGTGGTCAACGAGGAGCTAGTTATTTGGCTTTTGGAGGGTGACTGCCATGTGCATGTAGCAATGCAGCTGGATTCAACAGAGCAATCAAGGTGTTGCAGCCTGCAGTCTTCAAGGCGCAGCTTTCTCAACTTTTGAATGAAAGAAATCTTAACTTAGTCTCAGTTTCTGGCAAGGATATTTCGGAGTTGGTGTTATGATTTGAACACTCGAAGACAACGAGAGATTACGAAGTACACTCCCTGAAACAATCATGGAAGTGGAACGTAGGCCCCTGGAAGATCATTTTCCTCTACAACGGGGGTCCTGATTCCTGATCAGCTTCCATGATTGTTGGAGGAAGGGTAAGCCTTTTTGCTTAGCACGCAGCTTCTCTCCGTTCCTGCCATTAGTCCACCTTATTTTGCCCTTTGGCTTCACCAGGATGGGAAATTCGAGGCTTTGCAAGGGAAGATCTTGGAGTTCAATCAGCAGGTGGAGGAAGAGCTCCGCTTGGATCCCGTCGACACACAGCACCTCATCGAGGGCATCTCCAAGTTAAAGATGGGCGTCTCCACAGAGCTTCGGGACTGCGAGAAAGAGGCGAAGCTTTGCACTCGTGCAGGATCGACATCCCATGATCAATCGTGTAAGCATATTGCATCATGAATCATGAGTGTTTGGGGAAATTTTGGAGTTCGTAGAGAGAGAGAGAGAGAGAGAGAGTGAGTGATATTTGGAAGACTGGGATTTTGCTAGTTTCGAAGTTCTATTGCACGGTGAAGCGTATCCGCGTGACAGATCATCGTCAAGAAGCTTGGCAAATGGCCCAACGACAAGCTCTTCCCTGTGGTGGATCTTTGGGTGCGGCTGGAGGGGGCAAGCTGAACAAGGTCATTTGTTACAGTAAAGTGTTTGATGTTTGCACAACAAACATCGACAAATGTTTGGGTTTCTTGCCAGTGAGATGAGGGCAGACCATGATGAACAACATTTCTGTCTACACCTGGACACAACCAACAGCCGCTCTCATAACACACGAAAGGAAACGATGCTGGGGCCAGTCACATTGATTGCTTGTGTACAGTGGCTGTCGCAAGCAACCTGCCAGCGCCTGCTGCTTGCGCATCCCAGCAGCTCTGACTTCTTCAAAGGCGCTTTGGGCAAAGAATTCGGCAGAGTGTTGGTGTCCAGAGGCTTGCCCTTATATATACAACTTGTATTTATTCCCAACCAATGGTATCTGGGAATTGCCAAGCGTTCTAAGGTGTACGTAGGCGGTAAAGGTTTCTGGCAACAGCTCTGAATTACCGATTTCTTCACGCAATGCTAAAATCTATTCTTTTTTAAAATGACAACGACTCCTCCGAGAGCCCGCTTCCTGCTTAACTTGTGAGGATCGGACAGAGGAACATCATACATTCTGCAGGCCAGGATGACGTTCACTTGAGTTGTAGTGCATCCCTGTGTATGTCATTTCTGTAAGGTACTGTAGATTCTGCAGCTCTGTTTGACAGCCGTGCAAGCTTTTCACCGGGTGAGTACCAGAAAAAGAATTGTGTATGTATAGTCGCATGCATGCACAGCTTTGAGCCCTTTATTGTGGAGAAACAGAAGAGGTCATGCCGGAAGTAGTTTCAATAGTTGCTACATCCACATTCACAACGATACAATCACATCCCTCTTTCCTCAGCGAGGTGTTGAATCTGCTCGCAGTCGACATCAACAGCCCCCTGGGCCTTTGCGCAGCAAGAACCGCGGCAGCACAGAGCGAGACCTGTGGAAAATCAAAAGCGAAAGATGGTGAGACTTCACAAGGATATTTTTACATCGAATCATGGCTTTGGATGCGTAGGAGTCTAGGCGCCAAAAGCATCATTTGAATCATGCCTTCGTTGTGTGCATTCAGGATACTTGGCCAACCTTTTCATCTACCAAACCAACAAGTGCGCTGCGTTGGTTGCCTCTTCCTGCAGATTGTCAGAGGAGCTGGCTTTTGAGGTACGCAGCTTTCGACAAGCGTGAGTTGGTGCTCAATGGAGTCGAAGCAGCCATCAGCTCTACCAACAAGCACACCAAGGCCGGGCCTGGAGAAGGCCACAGTTAACTGATTACATGAGATCCAAAGCACTTTGGACGAAAGCCTGAAGAAGGCTACGATGGATACAAAATGGGACAGGAAGCCTGTGAAAGGCTATGCAAGGCCGTAAAGCGGCTAAATTTTCACACCAACAGCCTGAAGAAGGCTAGACCAGAGATAAGCTCGACCTGACTCAGACACTGAGTGTACATTTCATTGCAGTTGGCCTGCGCATCTGTGCTTCTCAACATGGCGATCATTTTATATGAGAGCAGCCAGCCGGTGTTGCCTGCCTGCTTGGAGGAAGAGAAGGTCGTTTGCACCAGGATCATTTGACTACCTTCTGTAAGCACCTAGATTACATTTTCATACACACACACACATAACACGGGTGCCATGTGGAAGTGAGTCTCTTTTTGGTCACAGGCTGCATTCCGCAGCAACTTGGAAAGACTATATAGTCGATTGGAAACCAGCCTCATGCCAGCCTAAAGCTTTCGACGAAGCCACTGCCAATCGTGTTCTGCAACTGGCGCTGACCTTCCTGAGCAAGGCCCTCTTCCGCAAGATGGCGTCTTTCACGGATGGCGTTCAGAAGGAACCCGGGATATAAGAACAAAATAATCCCCCAACGAATCCCTTCTGCTTGGTGAAGGCGCTTGGTGAGACGGTGGATCTTAAGCGGAGTACGACAAACTCACACGGACACGTGGAGCTTTTGAAGAAGACCAGCTGAGACACATCTTGCCAATTTCATGTGCGGTATAAGTCTCTGCATGAAAGGTGGAAGATGAGGATGCAAGATGTCGAGCCATGCTGGCTATAGGCGAGGGGTTAGAGCTGAACATTTGATCCTGATTTGTTTGCCGAACGCTGAATCTCGCCACTTTGAACAGAATTTGTCTTGAAACTCTTGGAGTGGAGAAACTTGCCAAAACAGACAGGACAGTACATGTTTTGGAGCCAATGTCGCAACCAGAGACGAGCCCTTTATGCACTTTTTTAACTGTTTGATAATCTATTCTTTTCACTTAAACCATTCTTGCGACGTTTCATGGGTAAGTAGGTGGGACAATATTGTGTCTTTATCTTTGAATGATCAAGGAAGACACAACAACTATTGATGGATACTAGCATTTGGATTTGTATTGCACAAGTTACGCTCCCGAAGACAAACATAGGTGAAAACGGCTGATTTCACGGATGTTTAACATGGAATGCCTTAACCAAGAATTTGCTGGGGAATGACCCTGCCACTTGATTCAACCGGTAAAAAGGTCTGGGGCTAACATAGACCAGGTCACGCCACCTCTAAGATCCCTGGCTTATTAAAATGATGCCCTAACATAGACCACCACGAACGACCCCTGCTCCCTAACATGGAATGATTTCATACCACCACGAACGACCCCTGCTCCCTAACATGGAATGATTTCATCTTGAGCACTCGAAGAGCTTTTCCCTTTGCTTCTCAAATCTAGATGTACGAATCTTGCAACCTGCGTGAGTGACAGAGTTGATGGGAGAGTACACTGCATGAGTCAACACTTTTTGGAAGCAGTGGGGAAACAAAAAACAACAGGTTTCATGTGTTGTCAGTGTAATTACATCAATAGAGACACCGCTTCCTAACATGGCACAGGCCGGAGACAGGCACTTCCCTAACATGGAACTATTTTCAGAGTGGATGTTGGGCCCAACAGCCAATGATTTGGCTTAACATGGACCATGCCAGAGGCTCTTTTACTGGAAGAAAAATCGGTACCAACATAGACTAACATAGACTGCATGTACGTCTCCCGCAGGTGTCGCTAACACAGACCATTTCTTTTTTATCGCTTTTTTTGGGGACAACGTTAGTTTTCACGAGCGTATGCTTCTGCAATTTAAAGTTGGTCGTGCGCCACTCGTCTTGAGCGAGACTAGTTTGATTGAAAGGGTTTGTATCGCTGCGCCAGGTACCCTTTTGACACGCGACTCAGCGAAGAGACCCCTGTCGGGTGCATGCCACTGTCCTCAGAAGCAGAGATCATCTCGGACTCAATATTGACAGGAACTGAAGGCTTGTGGCTAGTTGTGGTGGGAGTCTTGAAGCTGATGAATCAAGCCCTGAGGCAAGGCTGCGGACCTGCTTGGAAAGATCCCTCCCTTGGAGAGCAAGGCTGGAAGAACTATCGGTTGCAGGATGGGTATCACCAGTGGAGGGTTGTGGAGGAGGGCCTCTTTGAGCACCTGAGCACCATGGTCAAGGCCAATTCTTGGGCCAACATGTTTGAGAGTAGTCTTCCAAGTCTGCAGATCCCCATGACAGCAGACAAACGCGCGAGCTTTGGTGTATGATGGTGTATGTACTTTGCGTTTGCATGCCCAAGACGTTGCCAGAGTTTTGTTTGTGTGGTGTCGCCAGTTGGGAGCAGCGGCAGCAGACCTGAGAAAGTTCCTTCAATGAGATGGAGAAAGGGTGCTCCATTGCAATGACATGCAATAGTGATGGAAGCAACAGTCTTACCAACCAAACCGAGAGTCCGAGAGCCAGTGAATCCTGCGGATTTGAGAGCCTGAATACAAATAAAATCCTCACTGCATTCTTTCTGGTGCTGATAGCCATTTGGCAGCATTGCTTTGCTGAGCAGTTTCCGCGGATTCTCAGCGCAAGCCTCATTTGGTTACAACTCGGAACAGTCACGAGCATGCTCGAACCATCACCTCGGCGTTGGTTGCAATGACATTTCCAACGGAGGACCTTCACAGCCCCGAGACAACTGGCAGAAGGATCGAGGGAGAAACTCCCCTTCGTGCCAGGCAGCATGTAAATGAGCCAGCAGCCATGGCGTCTAAAGGAGTATCGCGAGCCTTAGCATGCTGGAGGCTAGCCGCACTGTACCAACGAGATTCCTACGGCCAGATTCTCCACCAATCACATTTGTTTTGTCGTTTATGCACCTGAAGCATGGTCCTGACAGGTATCAAAGACATCTTTCATGCATGCTGATCCAGAGGAGGTATTGGCTGCGAGCCCAACCCATGACTTAAACCTATGGTTTTGCAGTGTGTGATACTTCTGTTGAGCAGAAGTGTCGATCCAAGGTTCGACATTGATGCGAAGCGAAAGACTCATGACAAGCCTATTGTAACTCGGCAGCGAAAGACTCATGTGCAAGTGCTGAGTTGGAATGAAGCTTGCGAGCGTGCCTTCACAGCAGTACTTGACGAACATAGGTATCTCGTACGAACTACCAATTCGTCAAAAGCCATGTCCGGAACCAAGTGAGTTTGCCACATCTTTGCTTGTGGGGCATCAGATGCATTGCGAGTGCTTTTCTGCGTTTAACTTCTGCAATTTTGATTGTTCTGGGGTATTAGAAGCGACGTGAGCAGAGACTGTTTACACACGAGGCATTGTCAGAATTGCATAACGGGTAGCAAAAGCACTTTTTAGACACCGATACCCGAACGTTTATATACCCACTCAGCAATGTCTGGTGCCTGTTTGACTTGCCGAATTTACCTTGTCCGGCCTTGGTGTCACCTCAGTTCATTTTTGCTGCATCCAACGTTTTGGGTTCGTTCGGGACATGGCGGAGGGAAACGGACACCGTGTGCACCGAGTATTTCCGTAAATCACTAGTGCAAGCGCGCCCTCAGGGAGCTTCCTTGAAGAAGCGTGAGCTATCCTGCGTCTTGTTGGTAGTAGCGTGCTACTTAATAGCTACAATTACAATAGCTACCTCTACCTCTTCTTCTTTATCCGCGGCCTCCCCCCACATCTTTGCCCTTCGACACCTTGGCCGCCAAGGTCCCAGTGGTGCTGCTGGAGTCGATCCGTGGGGTTGGGCACGCAGAAACAGGACAATTCCAAGGAGAAAATTCCAACCTCTTGATGGTCTCAGATGATCTCCAGATGTGAAACCTTCCGAATTCGCAAGCACATCACGAGAACATGGATCTGAGATCAACAAAAGACCTTCCATTTCTGAACATTGTCGAGAGTTTTCAAGTCAACATCAACATCGGTTGGCCATGCCTCGGCTCAGTCATTCACACTGAGGTCGGCGTCAAAGGGCAAATAGTTCACGTGAAGCCATTCTGGCTTGGGTGTTGTGGGAGCAGGGTGTGGGAGCAGGTTCTGTGCGGGTGCAAGGTTCCGATAAGGCTTAGAATGGCTTAGATTGGTTAGAGTTGCTGTAGACAGAGAGAATAGACATTCAATTATATAAGTCTCATTGGTTAGGATTTATGACTTAGGATTTGTTAAGTCTTTCAGAAGGGCAGCTCTCTCAGCCAGGCGTGGTTACGCTCGACATGTCCTTGTTCCAAAGGGTTTAGCACTCTTCGGAACGTGGGAGAACATCGATGTCCTCGACCCAGAGCGAATTGCAAAGAAGGTCTCAGCAGGTAGCAAGGAATAGCATGGAATAGCAAGGAAGTAGGCCGCATGCAAGGGTCTTGAAGAACCTTCGCATCATCGAAACACTTCCAAAAAGAGAAAGAAACAAAGATACAATTAGAAATAATTAGAAGGTGCGGGCCCCTTCAATAGAGTCTCCTTTAAAACAGCCTTATTAAAGCGGCTCACACCTGATTTGTTTTCTCTTAGACTCTGTAGGTAGTTCAGCAATGTTCAGATAGAGTACGTTGCAAACACCCCTCACTGTTCGTTGGATCAAGGAACATGCGGACCCAGAGCTCATTGCGGATCCGACAATAAAGGCTGGTCAGCTTTCCCTGATTTCAAGCAGACACGCGCTTGACAATGATACCATTTTTTCGAATGCCAAGTCTGCGATCCGAGCAAGTCCAAGTACATTTCGCTTGGCATGCTTCGACTTGGCTGTGCAAGTAGCAGCATTCATTTTGCATCATTTGATAACGTTTCACACTCAAGCACATATCGTCATTCAAGAGATGTGGAGCTTGTTTCAGAGCAACTACACTAATTGTTCAATCATTTGTGAGGCCAGAGTGGCTACCGAGCGAGGACAACTGCCCTTTGACTGGGCCGCTTGCATAAATTAGCAACTCGGGCCACTGGCAGTGGCAGAACTCTTTCTGATTCTTTTTCCATGGCACTTATCAAAACGGCAGCGATGAAACAATTGTTTTGAATAGTGAATCGAACATGAAAGGACAGTTTATCCGTAGTTTGCAAGGGCTTGATTATGCTCGCAATTTTGTAACATGCACCAAAGCACGAGATTCGATGCGAGGTGGATGATGTGCGGCTGCGGTTTGTTCGGCCTGCCAGAGAGGCGCTGCGACCTTGTGGAATCAGCGGACTTCAACTAGGAACAAGAGGACGCTACTAGGAACAAAGGGCATCGCTACTAG